AAAAAAAAGAAGAGATTCGCATTGGCTGCAGGAGAAAACACGATTGGATGGAAATGAATCAAAAGTTTTCTTCTTCTTTTTCTTAAAATACATCTACATTTGTGTGTCGTTTGTGTTGTCAAAACTGTGACTGTTCTTCCAAAGGATTTATGCTATTATATACATCCACAATTCACGTAACCAACACAGAACTAGCCAAATTACAAGTGTACGAGAGCCGGTTCAGGATCAGGATCCACTGACACCGAAGAACACGAGCAGCCTGAAACATGAACCCAGATCAGCTGTAATTACCTTTGATGGCAATTCTCCAACTTTTGCCTTTAGATAAAAGGCGAATGTGAGGGGGTTAGAGAGGAAAAAGGAAAAGTTAAAAAAATGGTGAGGATAATGTCTGTAAAAAAGACACATTAAAATTCTGCTGTAATAAAACATAAGAGGGGAAACTGCGTGGAAAAGAAAATCACCCAATAAGGGTAGAAACATTTTACAAAGCGAACATTTAGTGTATTTGCAATTCGACCTTTCAGCTTTACAAATTCAGTTATTGTAACATTCATCATGATAAAAAGTATATTATTTTTTGTATTTGATATGGAAACAATGGAGTTTTGTTTGACCCTGTTCTTAAGGTTTAACACACAAAACAAAATGAAAAAAAACAACATTTTACATTGTTCAAAAATGGGCTCAATGGGCTGAAAAAAAGTAAATATCCCCGATCGGCATATCGTAACAGCAGACTTCATTGTGATACATTGTGATCACACTGCAGGCACAAGTGAGTTCAAAGTATATTTTTCCTTATCATATGTGACCACAAATTAATATATAAACCTTTTTCTGATTGGGTCACTTTCATATGGGGTCCCAAATCAAATATAGGTATGTGATATGGGCCACATTTAACGAATAATGTGAAACAGCCAAACAAAAACAACCCCAAAAAAAAAATCAGATCTGAGCAATAAAATGAGAATTGCAGTGCCGTGAACGTACTGTAGCTTATGTCTCAGCTGTTTGAACCTGAACAGCAGGTCGTATTATACAGCTAATACAAGATAAATATGTGTTACCTCCTGCCATACGCAGCGCAGTGTCCGAGTGAGGGAACCACTTCTTTCTCCCAGCTGGACTGGTGGATCCTCCCACCAACAAAGGTCCAATGTCTGTCCCCAGGAAGGATGCAGAGGTCAGTTCAATGACAACATGTGCAGTTATACATTTTATAGATAAACAGTCACACGCAAACAAAATGAGACCATTAGACAAATACTGTACAGTATGTAAAACAGTCTGAGTTAACTTACTGTCCAGTTCTGACAGGACTTTGTTCTTTGCTGTGGTGTACTTGGGCTGTCAGGTATTCAATTTGCTGCAACAGAAAACACACATTACAGAATTTAGAGCAGTGCAAAAAAATAATTTTAAAATATGATTTTGGTGTGTATATATAATACATGAAGAATGTGTGTGTGTGCATACCGCAAGGTGTGTTGTTGGCGAAATGTCTTCATGTCTTCATATTGGTGTTGATGAGCGCCGTGTGCTCTTTATTTGGGTGCTGACATTAAATGGTTTGCAGCATAGGCGTATAAGTACTCCCACACTGAAACACACACACACACACACACACACAACACACACAACACACAACACACATACAGGCATTAGGTAAAGTAAATATAATACAGTAACTGTGTTTACCAGCAGATGGCAGCACAGATACAATAAAATGTATTTCTGCTGCATGGGGCAGTTTGTTTATCTCTTAAAAAACGTGTATTTCTAAGTCAATCAAAATGTGAAACAGCGACAGCTTTTTCCTGCCTGTCCTGTTCTCTGTGGTTGTCTTATTAGAACTGACTGTTTGATCGACTGAATGAAGTGAAAACAATCAAGGTTGAAGGTTTTATAATAAACAGCTCACAGGTTTTGATGAATCCTGAACGGCTGATGACATACAAAAACTTTGCAGCTGTGGTTCTTGTTAATTATTGCTGTGACAAATGCTGACTGTTATCCCTGAACTCGAACGCTGAGAATCATAATATAGATTTAAATAACCGAAAGCTTTTTCTTTCAAAAGATCTGATAGAAGGAGAAAAAGAAAACATCTTCTGAGTGAGACACGACCAGAATATAAATAACAAAACCCGATCACATCTCTGCAATCTGCAAATGGCCCACAAGTGGCTTTATATACACATGCGTGTGTTTGTGTGTACGTGAGCATGCGATGCTTGTGATGTGAAACAGCACTCATTCAGACAGAAGAAGGCCTCTCCCACGGTCAGCCCCACGTGATATCAGTAACACCTAACTGTCCCTGAAACAGTTTGGATCGCATTTCTCTGACAAAGCACCTGTTTCGCTCCCAGCAGGTAAACTGCGTGCACAGCTCCAAGGTCCGTGTGTAAAGCAGATGTTGTTAAAGGGAACTCCACCAGATTTTTTACACCGGGCCTTTGACAGGACTACTGCGTAATTGTGAAATAAAAACTGAGCCTTTTGTGGCCCCGGAGGAAATCTGATATGTGACGGTCACCTGCAGCGTCGATTGAAAATGACAAAAATAAATAAATAAAACATAAAGTTTGGGGATGTGACGCAAACCTTTGCAGCCAGCTCCTCCATCTCAGTTTTGAAAAGCTACAGCTCTTCTACTAAACATTTCAGTGGCTAAAGCAGCATTTGTGAGTAATGACGGCCTTTGACAGGAAAGAAGAATGGTGCGGAATAAAAAAAAACACCAATATTATTCTAATATTTGTAAATTATTATATATAATATATTTTTTAAACTGTCCATCTTGAGTCTGACAATACTTTTATGAAGTGCAATTCTAAATGGAATAATTTGTTCACTAACAAAATAACTTTACAATGAAATTATGGTGAGGAAATGTTAATTTTTATAACGCTTGTTATTTCATGTTTTTGTGACTTTTTAGTCCGTTTTTTAATATAGATAATAAGAGCAAGAACGAAGGGAGGCCAAAGAGATGACAATCACACAATAGGTGTCTGGCGGACAAGAAACAGGGATGTTGTGATTCATGGTTCGATATATGAACTTATTAGAATACATACAGAAGGACCCCATACTATTAAATTGGTACATGTTAGGGTAGGACTGATTTAGAACACTTCGTACTGGAATGCTTTGGGAATCCTGATATGACACGCTTCCCTTTCTGTTGTATGTTCTGAAAATAATAGTCCATGGTCAATGTACGTATCTAAAACAGATTTATATCCAGCACCATAAGCACAGTAATATCCAAAACCTTTATCTCTAATTATAATAACTTAATTTCTCTCATGAAAAGGAAAAAAAAAAAACAATCCTCATAGTGATAAGAGATGACACGAGATGAATACAGACCTGAAAGAGGCGACGACGACGACTCACACAATAGACTGGGGATTAGGACAGAGAGCAGAAGGCGGTGTAGAAACCTCTCTGACAGTCGGCCGTTTTTTCATCTGATCTCTGGTGCATCTCCCCTCCGGCCAGTTCTACAGCATCGACACGCGCAGAAACAACGAATGCTACGATGGGGTGGAGACCACGATCAAGATGCCGATAAGAAGATACAGACATTATTAGCGAGGAACCCGGCCTCGAGTTGGATCCACTGCAGGAGGACAAGGAATTCACACAGTCACCACCCTTCATATTGTCGTGTTCTGAGACATTGAATAAGAATACATGGTGTTATGGGAGTTTTACCTTAAGTAACAAGGACCAAAAAAAAAACGTTTTCTGGCATGACGAAGCAGACAATGAAGACGAAAAACAAAGAGAAAAGAGAGAACAAAAATGGTCCAGTGTGCAAGCCAGGAGATGAGGAAGCAGCTAGAATTCCAGTTTTAAAGAGTTAAGTAAGTAAGTAAGTAAATTTTATTTATAAAGCACATTTAAACACAGTATAAACTGACCAAAAGCGCTGTTACAGTGGATGACTAAAAAAGGCAAATAAAACAGAAAAAACACATTGGACCAATGACTTTATACATTTTCTTTCAAATGAAACACATAAAATCTGACTCCATTTTTCCCTTTCCGACACTTTGTGTATCGGCTGATATCGTAGATAGACATATGTCGTATATTATGAAGTATTATTGCTATCATTGTTGTATGGCCTGGCCCTGGTTGAACTCTTTATCGGGGTCAGAGCAGGGCGGGTAAATGACGAACAGGACGCTGCTTGGAAGTAGCGGGGTCTTCTTTCGGAGCTAATAAGTTTCAGTTTTCGGTATTGGATAGGTGCATTGACTCGTGTACTAATAATATCGTATTATCTGAGGAATTTCTGATACTGGTATCGTAACAAGTTCACATAAAATGTCACGTACAAGGTTCATATTTTAGAATTTGCAATAACAAACTATAACGCAGGTTTAAACAAACCAACAGATACATTTGTCAGTATTGTATAACATATATCAACATTAACTTCATCTCAGTTATTACTTAAATCGAACTTACCTTTCTCCATTCTTCTATTTTGATTCCCCCCATGTTTTGCTGAATGACTTTAACAATCAGATCTGGAAAAAAATAATAGAAACAGAACAGATAGGAAAGCAGTTAAGTCTCTCAATCGGTCCAGTAGAGTTATAATCACTTGTACAACCGTGTTTTACAGGAAGTGTACCACGCTGCAGTGACAAATCCATTTATCTGTCATGAGCAGACCACACAGATTACGCTTCGATTCGTTTTTTAATTTCCGAGGAAAGTATTGCAAATGTATTTCCTCACATATCTGACAGCTGTGTGGTAGCTGGTCAAACGGCCAATGAGGAATTCAGCTCAGTCCAGCTGTCTGTGTGTTTATGTAGGTCAGCCAACACTAAGCCTACCTGGAGGGGGACTCACGCATGCTGTGACTCAGCAGGTAAACACTGATTCCTTCACACATTAACACTCAGACATTAACATGAACACAGATTCATTTTGGCACAAATTTCATGCACGTTAAAAAACAGAAAAATGTTGTGTGTACACAAACCTGTAAGTAAGTAAAACTTTATTTATATAGCACCTTTTTGACACAGAGATCCAAAGTGCTGTATAAACAACAAATAAATAAACACAACAACACGCGGAAAACAAACAAGGATGTCTATAAAAAGGTTTGCCTGTAGAGGTTTTGAGCAGC